GTCCAACTAGGAGACCTTCCATGTAGTAGGAGTAGGAGAGAAGGAAAGGGAAGAGGGAAGGAAGGAGGGGGTGCGGCCCCTCCCCCTAGTCCAATTCGGACTAGGCCTTGGGGGCGCGCGGCCTGCCCTAGGCAGCCCCTCTCTCTTTCCCGTATGGCCCAATAAGGCCCAATACTTCTCCCGGCGAATTCCCGTAACTCTCAGGTACTTCGAAAAATACCCGAATCACTCGGAACCTTTTCGAACTCCGAATATAGTCGTCCAATATATCGATCTTTACGTCTCGACCATTTCGAGACTCCTCGTCATGTCCCCAATCTCATTCGGGACTCCGAACTCCTTCGGTACATCAAAACTCATAAACTCATAATATAACTGTCATCGTAACGTTAAGCGTGCGGACCCTACGGGTTCGAGAACTATGTAGACATGACCTAGAACTATTATCGGTCAATAACCAATAGCGGAACCTGAATGCCCATATTGGTTCCTACATATTCTACGAAGATCTTTATCGGTCAAACCGCATAACAACATACGTTGTTCCCTTTGTCATCGGTATGTTACTTGCCCGAGATTTGATCGTCGGTATCCAATACCTAGTTCAATCTCGTTACCGGCAAGTCTCTTTACTCATTCCGTAATGCATCATTCCGTAACCAACTCATTTGGTCACATTGCTTGCAAGGCTTATAAAGATGTGCATTACCGAGAGGGCCCAGAGATACCTCTCCGACAATCGGAGTGACAAAACCTAATCTCGAAATACGCCAACTCAACATGTACCTTCGGAGACACCTGTAGTACTCCTTTATAATCACCCAGTTACATTGTGACGTTTGGTAGTACCCAAAGTGTTCCTCCGGTAAACGGGAGTTGCATAATTCTCATAGTTACAGGAACATGTATAAGTCGTGAAGAAAGCAATAGCAACATACCAAACGATCAAGTGCTAGGCTAACGGAATGGGTCATGTCAATCACATCATTCTTCTAATGATGTGATCCCATTAATCAAATGACAACACATGTCTATGGTTAGGAAACATAACCATCTTTGATTAATGAGCTAGTCAAGTAGAGGCATACTAGTGACTATATGTTTGTCTATGTATTCACACATGTATCATGTTTCCGGTTAATACAATTCTAGCATGAATAATAAATATTTATCATGAAATAAGGAAAAAAATAATAACTTTATTGTTGCCTCTAGGGCATATTTCCTTCAACGCGCCCTATAGGGGGGGCACCCTTCTATCTCGTGGTGTCCTCGGCTGCTTCTTGACTTGCACTCCAAGTCCTCTGGATCACGTTCATTCCAAAAATCATGCTCCCGAAGGTTTCATTCCGTTTGGACTTCGTTTGATATTCCTTTTCTTCGAAATACTGAAAGTCAAAAAACAGCAATACGGGTTGGGCCTCCGGTTAGTAGGTTAGTCCCAAAAATGATATAAATGTGTAAAATAAAGCCCATAAACATCCAAAAGGGGACATATAATAGCATGGAACAATCAAAAATTATAGATACGTTGGAGACGTATCATGGGCTGGTGTGCTCCCTCCTAAGGCCCATATGGCCCATATCTTTCCCCGGGGGTTTCCGATAACCCCCCCCCCCACCCCCCGATACTCCGATATGTACCCAATACATTCCGGAACACTTCTGATGTCCGAATACTATCATCAAATATATCAATCTTTACCTCTCGACAATTTTGAGACTCCTCATCATGTCCGTGATCTTATTCGGGACTCCGAACAACATTCGGTCACCAAATCACATAACTCATATAATACAAATCGTCATCGAACGTTAAGCAAGCGGACCCTACAGGTTCGAGAACTGTGTAGACATGACCGAGACTCCTCTCCGGTCAATAACCAATAGAGGGACCTGGATGCTCATATTGGTTCCCACATATTCTACGAAGATCTTTATTGGTCGAACCGTTATGACAACATACATTATTCTCTTTGTCATCGGTATATTACTTGCCCGAGATTTGATCGTCGGTATCTTCATACCTAGTTCAATCTTGTTACCATCAAGTCTCTTTACTCATTTTGTAATGCATCATCCCGCAATTAACTCATTAGTTACATTGCTTGCAAGGCTTATTATGATGTGCATTATCGAGAGGGGCCAGAGATACCTCTCCGATACTCGGAGTGACAAATCCTAATCTCGATCTATGCCAACCCAACAAACACATTCAGAGATGCCTGTAGAGCATCTTTATAATCACCCAGTTACGTTGTAACGTTTGATAGCACACAAGGTATTCCTCCGGTATCCGGGAGTTGCATAATCTCATAGTCAAAGGAATATGTATAAGTCGTGAAGAAAGCAATAGCAATAAAACTTAACGATCATCATGCTAAGCTAACGGATGGGTCTTGTCCATCACATCATTCTCCTAATGATTAACACATGTCTATGGTTAGGAAACTTAATCATCTTTGATAACACATCATTCTCCTAATCATTTCGTTCATCAAATGACAACACATGTCTATGGTTAGGAAACTTAACCATCTTTGATTAATGAGCTAGTCTAGTAGAGGCTTACTAGGGACACTGTGTTTTGTCTATGTATTCACACATGTATCAAGTTTCCGGCTAATGCAATTCTAGCATGAATAATAAACATTTATCATGATATAAGGAAATATAAATAACAACTTCATTATTGCCTCTAGGGCATATTTCCTTCACTTCGACACCCCGTTAAGAGGGCAATTCTAAAGTGAGATGACTCGGGAAGTGTCCGGAGTGTGTGCCTCAACATTTTTGTATTTCATAGAAGTCTGGACCAAACCATCGAGGCCATGTCTTGCATCTTTGTCCATGGCACCGAAGGCATAAAAAAGTTCTTGATTAATGAAAGGCTCGTCGCAAATTCTTTGTCCTGGGACTATTGAGGGGTATATATCTAGTAGTGGAAAATTCTTGATGGTGTGAAGTCCCCAAAGTGAGGAGTAATAATTAGTGAGTATTTTGATTTTTTTAATGAGAGAAGTACTCTTGCCCAATATGCACTAGAACTGAGATATTATTTACGCGTGATCCGGAGGACGTAGAGGCATGAAAGTAGCGCTTATTCTCGTCACCATCTAAGGTAGCCCTAAACCTCCCACGTTGAACCTAGAGATTTTTTTTCATGTATTGTTAGTTGGAGCACTTTGATAACAGCTTGCTTGAGAGCCAGTTCAATGTGCAAGAGGAAACAACTCTCTTCAATGGTGCCAAGAATTGTAGCCAACATTTTTTTAGTTGTTTTCTCTCGTGTTAATAGGAACAACGAGTTTTTGCCAATGCTTTAGCACGGCAAGGGGAGAGAGAGAGTGAGAGAGAGAATTGAGGGGTACAATATAGTAGTGAAAAAAAATCTAGGATGCCGTGAAGTCCTAAAAGTGAGGACTAGTAATTAGTGAGTAGTTTGATTTTTTTAGGACTACTTTGATTTTTGATCCATGAGAGAAGTATTACTGCCCATTATGCACTAGATCCGAGATTTTATTTTTTCATAACCCGGAGGAAGTAGAGACATGAAAGTAGTGTGTGTTCTCGTCGCCATCTAAGGCATCTCTAGTCTTCCCATGTTAAACCTAGTGATTTTTTCATGTAATGTCTGTTAGAGCACTTTTGATAATAACTCGCCGGAGAGCCAATTCCACATGCAAGAGGAAACAACTCTCTCCAATGTTGTCAAAAATGGTAATCAACATTTCTGCAGTTGTTTTCTCCGGTGTAATGGCAAGAGAGAGTTTTCGCCAACGCTTTAGCACGGCAACACGCGCGCGAGAGAGGTTTGAATGTAAATGGGCCGATTCCGAGGCTTGTTGGACCGCCATCCCACCATCTAGCATGTAGGTCCTCATATTTTTAAATCTGGAAAGCGCGGGAGAAGGGATGGATGCGTTTACCGATATCAAAAGCAGGACGTGACCAAAGACAAAGTGAGTTAATGGTAGACTGAGAGTTAGGAAATAAAAGATCCGATGCTAGGTTAACATCACTCGGTAAACCTTTCTAAAGTTGGTATGTCTTTTGTTGGATCACGCAATTTTCATCGACCAACGACAGATAAATCAGAGCTAAATTGTTTACGCATGTGTATTGAAAATGTTTGCTTATGATTGCCTAAAGAATGTATCATTGTTTTGCAAATGTTCTTTCGTTAGTTTGAAGGCTCCCATTAAGATCCAATCTGTTTTTTCTTAGGAGGAGAGGAGAACGGGGAATCAAGCTCACGAGGAAGTTCGTTTTTAAAGCGTGATTCATGGGCGCGTAAATGACGATGATGGTTATGGAATGGTGTGAGGCTAAATATGTGAGAGTCTCGGTTTAGGAATATCATTACATACAAACATATTTTTATATTGTATTTATTTGATATTATTAATGTTGATATTTGTTCCAATAAACTGAGCCAAACTTATCATGTGTCACTTGTGGTAAGCAATCCAAACTATTTCATAGAAAAAAAACTTAGCCAATTTTTTTAACGAGATTTCATTTATAAAATAAATAAATTATACACACTATATCACGGACAGGAGTGAATATATATTGGTACAAATACATACGGGTATACTCTACCTCGGTACGGTTACGTAGACGTACGGTGAGACCATCGTGCTCGAGCCCAACCCCCTTCCCTTCCCCCGCGACGCCCCCCTCTTCTTCTTCCTCCCCTTCCCTCCCTTTCACCTCCTTTCAAACCCTAGAAACCAATTCCCCAACCAAAACCCTAACCCTAGGTCCTTCCACCGTCTCCGCCTCCGCCTCCCGGTCCCCACCGCCCCTCGCGGCTCACGCGGCCTCGCCCTCCCGCGCCCAGTCCCGCCACCACCACTCGGCCCTCGCGGACCTAGGGTTTGCGCGCCCTCGAGCCGGAGCCCGAATCCCGAGCCCTCGCGAGGGCGTGCGTGGTGTGTGCGGCTACGAGGTGGGAGGCGGAGATGAGATGAATCTGCCCGGTGGTGGTGGCGGCCATGAGTAGGCTCTCGTTCCGGCCGCGGCCGCTCGACATCCACAAGAAGCTCCCAATCCTCAAGTCGGCGCGGGACTTCGAGGACGATGACCCCACGGTGGCAGCGTTCGCCGCGGCAAGGGTAGGGGTTCTGCTGCGGCACTCCGGCTCGGAGCTCACTGCCGCTGCTGCTGCGACTGACGGCGAGGTAATTTAATCAACTGGCAACGTTTCAGTTGAGCGTGCAATCCTATGAACTGTCAATGTTTGGTAGCTCCCAGAGTTCTCTTTGTAGGTTAGTTGTTGGGTGTTGTTGATTTCAGTCCAATTAGCATGTTGATGAATTCAGCTTTATTCCATGCCGAAGGACCATGTCGTGTCTGCTTCGGTATGTATCCAAAGGAAAACCATTATTTGGAGTTCTTAATAAGTTGTTTCTTTAGACATTGTCGTACGATTTCTGACATCATACTGCTGCTCCCTCGTCAAATTCTTTGTCTTTTGAAGTTTTGACTGTTGAGACTACTTGTCCCAGTTTGAACTTTGTAGCATATATGGTTGTTGTTAAGGTGTCTACTTTACATTGATATATCATCTATCCTACCATATTATTCATTGCTTCAAAAGCAGCTAAAAAGCCAGTGAATGCAGGTTATGTTACGTGATCCGTAATGATATCTTATTTTATTATTTTATCAGTTTATATGTTCTCAGTTATCCTATACCATTTGTATACTGCTAGTGGCATCGAGGTGTGCGTGCTCACACCACACCACACCATACTTCTGCTTTCTGTATATCAGCTACCGTGCAACACTGCACATATCACATGGTGCATAATTGCTTATATTTTGTGATCTGAAAATCTAATTTGTGTCTCCACAAAAGATAAATCTGAGAACATTTATACATACATGACTTTGCAGGGAAATTCAACTCCCAGTAAGAAGAATGCTCAAGAGATACCAACACCACAGTTTGATGATGTGGAGACCTATGATAGGGATTACACTCGCACCTTTGCACAACCATCATGTTATATACGAGGAAGAGGAGGTTTATTTCTTACTGCTATTATGGAATTGTAGTTCTTTTATGTTGACAATATTTTATTTATGGACTCTATTTCTAAGAATGATTACCCTATGCAGCCAGAGCTGAGATCGGTGAATTTGTTGAGTATGACTTGGATAACGAAGATGAAGACTGGCTTGACGACTACAACAATGAGCGGAAAAATCTTAACCCTGAAAAGTAAGAAAATGCTACAGATCTAATAAACCGCTCTACTGGTTATGGTTTGCATTTTGGTTACAGTTAAACATGCACCTTTTGGAATCTAGAATGAAAGATCAAGAGTCCAGAATCCTGTTCACAGTCATATTTTTAGTAACAGACCTTTGATGAAATTTTGGTTGTCTCAGTAATTTTAACAAGCTTTAGATGACACATTTACCATTTTATTATTTTTGCCTTATGGAGTGAGTATGTTATGCTGCATTTTAAGTGAAATCTCGTATTACAGGTTGGAGGTCCTCTTATTCAAGTTGGAAATTTTGGACCACAAAGCTCGAGAAAGAGCAGGAGCCATAACACCAACTTTCATAGGACCTGTTCCAGTTCTCTTGCAGCTCGATGTTGCTATGGAGGTAAAGCAGCATGCCTAGACCTTGCACAATGGCTTTAGGATGTTATGCTAAAATGGGAGCAAGGGAATTGTAAAATTGATGCACTGACATATATGCGAAGCATTTTGCAATGGAGATTGTACTTGTTATTATAACATAATGCTAAGTTTTAACTGTATAGCTTTGTCAACCTACTAAAAACCTTCCCTATCTGTTACCGTCGTTATTAACTCTGAGACATTGCCAGTTTATTTTTACCGTACTTTATATGGCACAAATCCCAACTTACCATGTCAGTTGAATCAAGGCATTTTACCTAAGGACCCCTCATGCTAGCTTTAGCACATGTTACACACTTCTTTTTAATATCAAATATGAATTGTATTAACCACTTTGCTGCTATACATGTCAGACACACCTTCATAGCTCGTAAATTTCATATGCTCTGTATGTAGCAGACCCCTGTAAGACATCTTGCTGGTGGCAGTAGGGTACTTGGTGGGAGTAATCCGCGCGAGCCTTGTTTTTCTTTCTTTGCCATGTTCCATTAAAAAAATGACATTTGTAATTACTCCTTTTTTTATATCTGTTGGTTGTCATAAAAAAAAATGAACTTGACAATTCCAGTATCCTTATGTGTCCATCTCCGTTGTCTTATGTTGGTACTGAGGGTAAATGTTGTACTGCGTCTCTCTAGTTGGCATGAACATATATGTGCATGCGCAGAATAGCTAAGGTGTAAGCAATGTCTGCTTGCCTCGTTTATTAGTATCAATTACTTCTTGTACGGGTTAAATTAACACATTACTATCTTTTAAGGGCGAGCATAATTTACTAGTGCAATTAACTTAAGACTCACAGCCCATAGTCCACGGGTCCTGTTGACAAGATAGGCAAAAGGATATATTGCTATGCTATTATGCTCATACATTACATTGCAGGCTCTATGCCTTACTCCATCTCAGTTAATATATTGATCAGAATTTGCTCATGATTGCTGAAACCTGCTTGTGTGGAGATCACATATGATACTAATCTAGATGGATTTCAAGACATTGCAATTAAATGTCAACAAAGTTATTAACGGAAACTTATTGCATTTTTTGTTTGGTTTAGGCTTTTGTCTTATCATAGGTACCTGGAAGGGGACCCGTTTTCCCTTTCATTAGTTTTGCAGTCTTGTTGTACAGTTGTTTCCTACACAGTGTCTTCTTACCAATTGTTTCTCTGTGCAGGCTTTGCAGTATTTATCTGTTCGGTATGCTGTTTTCCAAGCTGTATATAACTATTGGAGAGCTAAGGTAGTCTCCACTGTCAAAATACAGCATATGGTCTTCTTAATACAAGACTACGAGCGATCAACTTATACCTTTTATTTAAATGCTTATAACATGGCTTGCTGTCAATATCTGTCAAACCTTGTTTTCTCACAGTTTATATTTATTTATTTTGCATATCTGAGATTTTCTTGTACTACTTTATTTAGATTTCTCAATCTCATAGAAAATGATACCATGACTTAATTATGTTTGCTGCATTTGTTATGCTTACTGCTTCTTTCTTTTATTAGAGGGAACGGTGGCAAAAGCCTATTCTGCGGCGTTTGCAGGTTAGCTTACTTTATTTGAAGTGATTGACCGTGATGTTTCTGTATTGTTTTAATGCTCCAGGTGTTGGTAGATTTTCTTTTGTATGTGGACACTGTTTCTACCGACTGATATAGTACTCCCTCCGTCCGGAAATACTTGTCGAAGAAATGGATATATCTAGACGTATTTTAGTTCTAGATACAACCATTTTTATGCATTTCTCCGACAAGTATTTCTGGACAGAGGGAGTATATCCTAGATTCAGATGTGAAATGTTCTTTTCTTCTGTGTGTATAATCTATCACAGTATATGCTATATCTTGAATCATCTCACCAGACTTGTAATCATGTTAAAGCTATTTCAATCGATGTATCTATAGGTGATTGCTAGGAGAGTTTACACAAGTTAAATTAGATTCATTAGTGAAAACCAGCTGCAAATCATAAGAATATTAGTTCTTCTTGGTGCAGTAGCATGTACCAGGTACATGTTCAAAGTAAGATAAGTTTGCTATGATGTCCCGACGGCCTTACGTTTCTATCTGAGGAGCTATTTCTACTACATGCAGTCATGCATGCTCTCAGAATGAAGCTCCCCGTCAAATATATGGAATGTTATGGTATGGTTGCTATTTTGCTGCACAGCTGCTGGCTGACTGTAAGGCCCAAAGCGATGGCCATGACACATACGCATTTTGATCAGACAGGGTCTTTTTGATTTCATCCCTCTGACCAGTTTTAGGGATGGTATGACTAGGGTAGCCAACTTTTACTCTTCACTGTTTCATCCTGTTCATCCAATCAAGAAACCAAGCTGGATGGCCCCAATCTATCCACCTTTGTTCCTCCAACCAAACGAAGTCACAACATCTATGCAAGATTTGGCTATTCTTTCACATCTGGAATTTATTTGCCCATAAGCAGATGCTTCAGTTTGCTGTATTTTTGACTTATAGTTATGTAATGGAACCAGGTGAATTTGCCAGTTAATCATTGGGTTCCTTGCACAACAAAGCTAACGCCACTGCTGTTCCTTAGTGTAATTTGTTCTAGGGGTTTAACTGGATTCACCCAAAGCAGTTTTAAGGGCTTATCTATGAAGATTTATAGTTGGACTTGTAAGCTACCAGCCCAACAAGTGTGCTCAATAGAAAAGTTTTTGCCAAGCTAGTTTTGTTGGGGAAAATGTCAGTCTATCATACTATGGTTCTGTTACATTGCTATTGACTAATTTACTTTTGGTTTTCTGAAGCCTCCTCCGCCGGTGAATGATACAAACCCATATAATGTATTCAGACCAAGAGAAAAGGCCCATCGTCTTCATACAAGAAGGGTGAGTGGCTTTAGGCCAGAGTTAGTTTGAACACCTACCTTCGGGGAACAGCAATTACTGGAGAAACTTTTTTTTTTTCAATAGCACCTCCCTGCAATCATATTTCTCTTGCGTATACATAATATTTGCTTCCTTCTCCAGATGCAAAGACGAGAAAATAATATCCAGTCGTTTGAAAAACTCCGCCTGGTAAGCTGCATTTAGTTTGTTGTGGTCAGTTTTTCGATTGTGTCTCTCTGTTCCTGTACATCTTTATCTTTAGTTGATAAATGTGTGAAATTTTGGTTATATAACCACGGGGGAAGCTTATAATTACACTGTCCGACTATGATGATTTTATTAAATGACATCATGTGATTCCCTCCATGATCAAATTACTAATGATTTCTTTGTCAGCATTTCTCATGTCAAAGTAGTTCTGCTCTAAGATTTTTCTTTGCTGCTATGTGAATAATCTGCCTTTAATGGTTATGAGAATCTTGCGCGCAACTGTTTAAAGGGGACCAAAAAAGGAAATCCATGATTTTCGTAAATAGTTTTATGTTAATGCAAACAGTACTGTACTTTTGACGCCTGGTTTTGCGAGAAATTGAAATGATGGGATAATTGGTTAACCGTTCTCTTCTGCTTGTATTGTCAGTTTCTTGGGATTTGGATAGCTGCTGCCATCTCATGCTATGT